AAAGACTCCCACTGAAGAAACTTTGGAAAAAGAGCACATCTATTCTGGACAAACATGAAAGTATGACAAAGGGTTGAAAAAGGAGTCTTCATACAGTATCAGCTTAAATCCACTCAGCTGTCAGGTCATATTTCAGCCTCATAGTAAAATATTAAGCAGACATATTTGACTGCTTTGCAAACCTAACTTCCTTTTCTTCCTTTGGAAAATTAGTACTAGAAATTCACCTCAGCTAAAACATTTTCAGACTAGCTTCTGATTTATTACATAATTGTTGCTGCTGTCAATTTTTTTTAAAAAAATAAATACTTTTATGAGCTAGAATCCTAGCATGTTTTCCACAGAATCACTATCACTGAACATAACAGGAGTGATTTTTTAACAAAATACTTTTTGTTACCCATGAAATTGATGGAATATTTCAAGATTTTCTTGCCTAAACTATCTGTATTTTAAATTGTTAATTTCATATTAAAATATTTAATGATTTTGGTTTAATGGCCCAGAAAAAGAAAAAAGTAGTTTAAAAATTATTGTATTAATGAAAGAAGATATGTTATATTGGGAAATGCAATAAAACAATTGTTTGTTGAAAACCTTGATGAAAGGGAAAAAAGAGGTTCACTGATGAACAATGTGCCTTTCTAGTAGTAATTGGGATCTCTAATGTCTTATACTGATTCTTGATCCATTAGCAGCTGCATGCCCAACTGATGTACACTATCAACAAATGTCATTTTGAATGGCTGCTTTGATAATAATATTAAGGAAAAGAAAATCATGGCCAAAGTGAATTACGGTGTTTTCATTTCTAGTTTCTAAATAGCAGTACTTGCTTGCCAAAATATAATCTAATTTTCCTAATGAAGCTTTTATGGCTAGCCTTTAGGCAGGAATCAGGGAAGATAAGGTCTTCATAGCTAGGATAATTTAGGGTACGTATTAAAAAATAATTATTAGTACCCATAAAGAATAATTCAAGAAAGTTCAGAATATTTAACTACGCAGAAGTTCTTATCATTTCTGGTATCTATTATCAAATTTGTGATCATAAACTTGAAACAACTGAAACCACCTGAAGGTGATGTATCTATCTCATCGCTTCCTGAATTCTGTATAATTTGGTTCTAGAATACAACCACAGTGGCAATATTAACTATAGATAAATATGATATTAATCTAATTGTTTATTTTTCCTGAAGCCCAGAATGTGAACCTTGTCCCTTATTTAAAACTGAGGTCAAATGCTTTTAGCACTCCTAGGTTCTTTCCCTACCTGTTCCCCATCTCTCTGTAGATGCTTGAAAACCATATTTTCTAAATCTGATATGTTAATTACTTGATATCTGGAGAATATATAATTAACATAATAAAAAATATCTTATAAATGAAAGCATGCTTCTATTTAAACTTTGTTATTTGATAAATCAAGATTTCGAAGCAAAACAACACAAAAATCAGAACACTAAAAAAAAAATCCATGGTAAAGAAGTGACATGATCTGTGGAAAATATAAGCTTCTCTGATGATTCAGGATAGTTTTTTTTTAAATGGTCATTCAACCTGAGGGTATATTTTATTGTCAGTTAAAAATCAAGATCAGGGATACCCAACCAATGGCACCCAAGGACTTAGATTCAGAGACAGAGTCTCTCCAAAATCTGTGATTTATTAACGTAACAAAGGGGAAAATTTATTAAATGCATCAATATTAATTATGTAAATTAACTAAAGCAATTTAATTTTAAAGTGAAAAATCAAATTTTATTTTGTCATACTTCTAGGTTTTGCAGTATATACTTTAATAGGCCACTCACTTGTTGCCAAAATGTTACAAACCTGTTTTATACGTTTTCTAGAATCATAGTCTAGAAACGGCATACAATATTTATGCTGCACTGTGCACAAGATCAATTATGTGTAAAATTTATTTCACCTGTCAGGCATAAAAAGACTATTTTAACTTGGTGTATAGTTGCAGTGGTGGATCCCACACTTGGCTGGCTAGAATGAACTATCTCAGATAGGATTCATTCATTTTCTTTTGAATTAGAATTGCGCCTTCTGTACAGTTATGTTCCAAGATTTTTCAAGAGCCCTACCTGAAAAGTATGTGAACGGTGGCTAACGGTGAACTATGGTTTAAGTAAACACATGCTCAACGTGATACACTCAAGAACAGCAAAGGTAGGATCAGTAAGAAACCGTTCTTCTCAATTTATGTATTTGAAAATAATACAGCTTGTTTGAACAGTGGGGAATAATGTCAAACAATATACCATACCTATTATTTTGCAATATATAAGTAATGATAAGGATTACTTCCCAAAATTAATCTGGGGCTATAAACAATTAGTGACATCAAGTGAAATTAACTATTGGCATAGTTAATTTTGTTCACAATATAAAAAAGATGTTAAGACTCTAGAAAGAGTGTAGATAAGGGGACAGATAAGGGGACTGAAAACTAAAATATAAGAACAATTGCAGAAATTGGTATATCTAGTTTAATAAAAGGGACTAGGGGTGATGTTATAGCAGTGTTCCAGTATCTAAGGGCTGCCACAAAGGTGTTCAACCTATTCTCCAAAGCACCTGAAGGCAGAATAAGCAATGGATGGAAACTAATCAAGGAGAGAAGCAACATAGAACTAAGGAGAAATTTCCTGATAATTAGAACAATTAATCAGTGGAATGACTTGCCTCCAGAAGTTTGTGAATGCTCCAACACTGGAGATTTTTAAGAAGAGATCGGACAACCATTTGTCTGAGATGGTACAGGGTTACTGCTTAAGCAGGGGGTTGGTGGAGAACAGTGGTCACCAACCAGTGGGCTGGGGACCACTGGTGGCCTGTGAGAAAATTTTGGTGGTCCGCAGAGAAATGTCACCTCCAAAACACCCCCCCCCCAAAGCAATTAATTCAGGCTGCGCGGGAACACGAGGCTTGCGTCTCTTGTATTGTGAACAACACGATGTAGTGAGGGGAAGGGGAAAGGGCAGGGGGGAACTTGCCCCACTAGCCCCATGGACCTGACCTGGCCACCGGGCTACTTTTTTCTGCTTCTTTCTTCTTCTGGTTTTGGCTACATGCAAGGAAGGGAGCAAAAGTCTTTCTTTCTCTCCCACAAACTCCACCAGAAATGAGTCTTCTGTTCCAAAGGTTGCACCGGCAGGATAAGTCTCACACAGACTCATTTCTGGTGGAATTTGGGGGAGAGAAAGAAAGACTTCTGCTGCTTTCCTTGCATGAAGCCAGAAGTGTCTCTCCTCCCCCACCCCCCCAACAGAGCTGGAGATGGTATTCTGTATTCCCAAATAAAGAATGATCGACCGGTAGGAAAACGGGGTGGGGAATTTTCCTGCAGACTTTTTGGGGGAATTTTCCCAGGGTCTCTGGTCCACAGGATTTAAAATTATGAGTTTGGTGGTCCCTGAGGTCCAAAAGGTTACGATCCCTGATCTAGAAGACCCCTCAAGGCCTTTCCAACTCTTATTCTTTATTCTGTTATGTAACATTAATACTGATAATCAAATTATTAATAATCTGAAATTCAGTATTGCAGCCTGAGAACACATACTCAAGCATATTTGCTCAGAAGTAAGTATGGCTCTCTTGAATGGGTCTTATGCCTAGTAAGAGCATTCAGGGATGTAGATTCCCTTGGTGTAAGTAAAATTAAAAACAGTGGGATTAATTGCCAGAATATATTCTGTCCTGGAGATGATTATCTGCATCTCAGAGTTGCATCTCCATTTTTCCTATACACTTTAAGGGACGTTAAACCTCGCTTGTTCCAAAACGAGATGGGTCCTTTTAGGTGTAAACACTTTCAAGGTGGCAAACTTCTCCCCCCCCCCCCACCCGCCCAGTGAAAACGTCTCCGTAAACCTTGGTCAGCTTTACAGTTGGCTGGCTCAGAAATTCCCACTATATTCACCATATTCATCTCGTCAGGTGCAACCTTTCAATCTGGGTCCCCAGCAGGCCCTCGCTCCTTTCAAAAGAGAGCCCTCTCCACCGACTCTGCAAGGCTTTTTCTCCATCACCTGAATTTGCTGAGCCCGCCCCCCTTTCTGACGTTCCTCTCAACCCCCCCTCCCCCGTCTCCCAACCCTGACCCAGTCTTCTTCCCATCAATCTCGATCCACGCAACCTAGACTAATATTTCTTCCCCGCCTGAGGGAATGGGGGGCGCGGGGGGGGGGCGGAGAAGAAGACAAGGTAGGTTACAGTGCTGCACTTGATGCAATGAAACGTCTCTTTCCGACTCGTTCTTACCGATGCTGACAGCGCGGAGTTCGGCTCCCACATTGACCGAGACCAAACCTCCGATCTGCTCCGTGCTTGCCCCCCAAAAAACTCCGCGATGGCGTGGATTAGACTTGGCGGAGCCGCCTGCCAGACAGACAGGCACTCGGAGAGGCGCGGGGTGGAAGGCGGGGGGTGGCGGAATAGAGTTGTTTCCTCTCTTCGGTTCGTCGAGGAAGGCGGGACGTAGCCCCCTAGCAACACCTCTTCCAATGAAGGCGTTGCTAAAAGCAAGTAAGCTCGTGCGAGGGTAGAAAAAGTGAGCGCCGTTCTGTGTGGCTCACGAGGAAGAGAGTGACAAAACTTTCCACCACTCATGCGAAGGAAAGAACGGAAGTTGTACCGCTATTGTGGCCCACTGGCAAGGAGTGGGCGGAGATGTTTACTTTGAAGGATGAAATGTGGGCCCAATCGACAAGGGCAAAGGCGGGGCTTAGCTAATTTTATCGATAACATTCTTCACCAATCAAAAAGTGCTGCTGAAAGTTCAGCTTCGAACAGGGAATCCAGCTCGGCCAATCAGGGGCTTAACCACTGGAGCTCGTTAGAATGAAGGTTCTGTAGGTCAGAGGACGAGGGATCGGCGTTTGAATGACAAGTGCGCGCACCACTAACAATGCACCGCGGGGGGCGGTGCCGGAATTGAAGTACACGGCCGAGAGGGCGGGTCATCCGGCAGATCCGGGCGGGGGAGGGAGCTGGGACTCGGTACGCGCAGGGCGGCCAGAGCAGCATGGCGGAAGACGAGAGCGACCAGGAATCGGAGAGACTCGGCGAGGAACTCAAGGCTATTAATGAGCCGCGCCTTCCCGCCGGATTGTCTCCTGCCCTGAGCAGCCAGTATTATTGCTACCGCTTCTGCCAGGTGAGTCGCTAGTCCCGCCCCCTGTAGACTGACACTCCGGGACTTGCGGGCAGAAGACAGCCGAGTGATGGACGCCAAGGAATTTCGGACCGATCGTTCTGCGGCGGAAACGTCGGAGGTTCCCCTCCCCTCTCTATGTCGCGGCCCTTTGCACAGTTAGCTGCTTCAGGGGAAAATAAGAGGGCGAGCCTACACGGAGGCGCTTCCCCCTTTCTCCGGTCGAGGCGGGGGAAACCGATTCCCTTTCGTTTCTGCCTTTTCTCTTCACTCCCTACTTAGAGCGAGCGGTAGGAAAGCCGCCCGTGGCCGAGCGGGCAGTTGTCCGTGAGGGGGAGTTGATTTTCGCCACGTCAGTTTTCCGCTCATTTTGTCCTTGTCACGGATACCCTTCTGTGGCTTCGAAAGTGGTCCTGACCCTTTCCTTTTACCTCACGGGCTGACGGGATAGGGAGCTGCCTTCTGAAGTGCAGAAAAAGGCCTTTCCCCGTCTTCTCGTGAGCCGCTCCGTTCGCTGTCACTTGGGGTGGGGGTTCCGTTCCCGAGCTCAAGTCCGAAGTTGGTGGCCCTCTTGGTCTAGGAGCTGGAGATTTTTAGATTGATGTTAAAAGTCTCTAGAGATTTTCAGTCATCCAGGTCATGGTTGTGGATGACAAAGGTGCTTTTTTTCCCCCTTCTTCAGAAGGCAATTAGACTTTCTTGGTTTTTTTTTCTCTTTGAAGACCTTTTGCTTCTCATCCAAGAAGCTTCTTCAGCTCTCACAGGATAGTGAGGAATGGAAGGATTTTATATTCCTTGCAGGCAGCTGGTCATTTGCATTGATGTTGAGGTAATAAGACAAAGCTACTGTAGTTTTTAAAGAGGTTGGGTGAGGGCTCAGTTCTTCCTCCTCCTCCTCCTCCTCCTAAAACTTTACATTTGGTTGGCCTAAGCATGAATGAGGGTTGCTGAGAAAACAGCCCACTGTTTTGAATGGGAGTTCATGACCTAGTTGCTGCTAGTTGTTCAGTTTCCTATTAAGAAGCTACAGAAGATGTTTTGCCAGTGCATGTCTTTTTCTGATGGGATGGAAGCTAGAGGCAAGATCTCAATTGGTTGCTACAGGTGTGTTGATGTAACTTTACCATTTCGTGTATTATTATTATTTTGCTGATATTTTGTTTTACATGATCCTGCTTGGATTCTTTTTGTGCTACTTGATCCCAAAGTGGCTTGGGGAATTTAAAGGTAGTTTGGGCTGGGTTGTGGGGTTTGGAATAAAGGCCTAAATAAAAATTAAGATCATGCACAATTATCTGAATTAACATATTCAGAAAAAATGTTTAAGTGTTTGGCATCTGTGATAAATGAAGAAACTTCTGATTATATCATTGTTTTATCATGATTTCCAAATGGCGTTTAATTGTTTGTATTTGAGGGACTTAGAATATAAGCGAACTTGTCTAAACATGATTTTTACTTTTATGCTGTGCTGCCTTGTGCATTTCTACATTATTTAGGTGGAATCTTATCCTTACCTGAAAATAAGTTGGGTTAAATACAATTGTTTCATTTTTTTTAGTAAATACATTTGGTTTGTTATTCAGGTGAAATTGTACTTAAGCTATGGTCTGACTCATACACCCAGTTAACTATTTAGCCATAGTTTATGAAATAAATCACAGTTTATTATATTCACACAACGTATGCAATAAAGTATGATTGAAAGACCTCGGTGTCTGGATTCATATACTCTATCACATTTAGACAAAATGAAAATTATATGATGTAATTTGATGTGTGGTTCATTTTGACTTTTGATTTAGAAATAATATATTAAATATCTGTTCATAGGTTAAAATTGATTCTATAATACTTCTGAGAAGTATTAATGTATATATCTTACATAAGCTTACCTCTGTGGCCATATACTGGATGTTTTTCTATACCCAGTATAGGAAATATACATAAAAATAAAAATCTACAAATAAAATAGTGTAAAAACAGGTTTGAAAACAATAATATTGTTACATTTTCTATGCTATGGATATAAAGGTTACATTCTAGTTCTCTATTCCTGGCTTTTAAAAAAATCCTCTTTATTAAATGCAAAACAGACATTTTGAAAAAATGATTTCATACAGAGTACATATTAATTTTTCATATAAATATAAAAGTTCTACATTTAATTAATGGTAACTTTTATTATAATTATAAATATATATTGATAAGTCATTTATTGATCACTTGCTAATAACAAACTGTAAAGTGTTTAATACTCGGGGCATATATTTATCTTTCTAATCCTGAAGAGCCTTTTGGTTTTAAGTAAAACATGGAGAACCCATTTTCTTTGTCCAGGTGTCAGTTTCCATGTTGTAGGTATAGTTCAGTGGAATATTTATATCTGAAATTATTGGATCTTGTCTCAGGATACAATTCATATGTGTAATAATTTTCTTCCTAACTGGAACATTTGTAGAACAATGTAAAATATTTTTGAAGGAAGCTTTAATTTAATTGCATATCCAAATGTTTAGTACATAAATGCAATGTAATTTAGTAAGTCTGAATTGCTTTTTGTTGAATAAAATGTACTGTAATCTAAAATATATTAAAGTTTTTGATTGTTAAAATTACGAAGAAATTTTGGGCTGCTTTAGTATCATGAGATGCATAGATGAGGTGTGTCTATGTTGAAAATGTGAGTCAGCATATGCTGTAAATGTAAATAATGTAAATAATACCTCTAAGCTATTATGCAGATATTTTTATTTTACTGCAGAAAATTTTTAAAAATCATCTTTATCCTATAAATAAGCTGAAGCATAAATACCTATTTCCAACACATTTTCTATACAACGAGATTTTAAAATTTGTTTTGAGATCCTGATTACTCTACAGGTGAAACTCAAAAAATTAGAATATTGTACAAAAGTTCATTTATTTCAGTAATGCAACTTAAAAGGTGAAACTAATATATGAGATAGACTCATTACATGCAAAGCAATATAGTTCAAGTTGTGATTTGTCATAATTGAGATGATTATGGCTTACAGCTCATGAAAACCCCAAATCCACAATCTCAGAAAATTAGAATATCACATGCAATCAATAAAACAAGGATTATACATAGAACAGTATCGGACCTTTGAAAAGTATAAGCATGTATATGTACTCAGTACTTGATTTGGGCCCCTTTGGTTTGCCTCAATGCAGTGTGGCATGGAAGCTATCAGCCTGTGACACTGCTGAGATATTATGGAAGACCAGGATGCTTCAATAGCGGCCTTCAGCTCTTCTGCATTTTTCGGTCTCATGTCTCTCATCTTTCTCTTGGCAATGCCCCATAGATTTTCTATGGGGTTCAGGTCAGGTGAGTTTGCTGGCCAATCAAGCACAGTAATCCTATGGTCAAGCAGGTTTTGGTGCTTTTGGCAGTGTGGGCAGGTGCCAAGTCCTGCTGGAAAATGAAGTCAGCATCCCCATAAAGCTCATCTGCAGAAGGAAGCATGAAGTGCTCCAAAATCTTCTGGTAGATGGCTGCGTTGACCCTGGACTTAATGAAGCACAGTGGACCAACACCAGAAGATGACATGGCTCCCCAAATCAACACAGACTGGAAACTTCACACTGGACTTCAAACATCTTGCAGTGTGTGCCTCTCCATTCTTCCTCCAGACACTGGTCCTTGGTTTCAAAATGAGATGCAAAAGTTGCTCTCATCAGAAAAGAGGATTTTGGACCACTGAGCAACAGACCAGTTCTGTTTTTCTTTGGCCCAGGTAAGACGCTTCTGACGTTTGTTGTTCAGGAGCAGTTTGACAAGAGGAATACGACATTTGAAGCCCATATCCAGGATCTGTCTGTGTGTGGTGGCTCTTGATGCACTGACTCCAGCCTTAGTCCACTCCTTGTGAAAGTCCCTAACACTTTTGAATGGTCTTTTCCTGACAATCCTCTCCAGGCTGCAGTCATCCCTGCTGCTTGTGCATCTTTTTCTTCCACACTTTTCCCTTCCACATAACTTTCTATTAATGTGTTTTGATACAGCACTTTGGGAACATCCAACTTCTTTTGCAATTACCTTTTGAGTCTTTCCCTCCTTATGGAGGGTGTCAATGATGGTTTTCTGCACAACTGTCAGGTCAGCAGTCTTTCCCATGATTGTGATTCCTACTTGAACCTGACTGAGAGACCATTTAAAGGCTCAGGAACCCTTTGCAGGTGTTATGGCTTAATGAGCTGATTAGAGTGGGACACTTTGAGCCTAGAATATTGAACCTTTTCACAGTATTCTAATTTTCTGAGATTGTGGATTTGGGGTTTTCATGAGCTGTAAGCCATAATCATCTCAATTATGACACATCACGGCTTGAACTATCTTGCTTTACATGTAATGAGTCTATCTCATATATTAGGTTCACCTTTTAAGTTGTATTCCTGAAATAAATGAACTTTTGCACAATATTCTAATTTTTCAAGTTTCACCTGTATATTATATAAGTTTAGCACTAGAAAAGAGTCAAAAGCCAGTTCCTAAGAATCATGTATCACAGTTTTGAAATCAACGTTATAGTGATTACAATATAATGTAGAGCTATCCAAAATCAGTTACACCTTGGTGTCAGCAAAACAAATAAGAATGTAGCGTTAATTCACCACTCATAATCATGTCTTTTTGAATTTGACTTAGCAAAAAGTGTAATTATCAGCCCTTGTTGATTATTTAGCAAACTGATTGTGTGTGTACATACAGATAATGTATTTAGATTTGAGTGGCATTACATTTAACTGCCTTTCTGATCTTCCTATATTAATCATTTGTTTTTAATTTGACAGTGATGAGCCTCTCTAATCAGGGTATTTTACCTTCCAAAGTAAGGTGCATTTTAAAAAAATATGGAGAGCATTTTATGTGAATGACTTGCTTTGAATTGACATTATAATAGATGTACTCATACTGTAATCTTATGAATAAGTAGTTTTTAAAATGTTTTGAAGGCAAAGATGAGACATTCAAATTTCTCATAACTTTGTGTGTGAAGATAAATGTAATATTTAAATTGGACAGCACTTTGGAGTGAAGTCTGATATTACATATATCTATTGACATTTGATGGCTTTTTCAATTGAATGGATCCTTTCATACACAGTGCAAGCACAAGCAGTAGGTTTTTTTTATTTTTTGTGATTTATAGTTATAACTACCATATTTGGTTTGGTTACAGTGTAAGTACATACTCTAAGCTTTGCTTTCTGTATTGCAATTGAATGCTGTGTGGCAAATCTGCCACATTGATTAATGATCTGGAGGATTATGATTAGGAGTGGTTTTTAATTTTGGGACACTTAATTTGATACTTAAATCATACTTCAGTGCGTATTTTTCTTTGCAGTTTTTTTCTACTATATCAATATATTAGGAAATGATGAGTTCTAGACCTTTCTTATAAAAGCCACTTGGATAACTTTCTCAGCCTAGCATATCTTACACAGTTGTAGGAAAATAGGATGCAGAAGTATTAAACATGTTTAAATATATTTACCACCTAGAGTTGATCAAATATATATATTTAAAAAAGGATAAAAATATGATTCGATACATGAATTAAAATGCCAAAGCCAGTCTAAACCTCTGGCTGACGGTGACTGGCCTAAGAATTAATAATAAAAATTCAAAAACATATGGAATACCATTTGAATATCATCAACATTAAAAACTATCAGTCAGTTGCAAAAGGCAGTTTTACTTGGACCAGCTTACAAACTGTGACAATATCTTTAATACCATCAAGCAACAATACCTACCTATCTCAGGTAGGTCTTTGGGAAGGACTCAATAGATGGATAAAATTGCTGGATCCAATGTAAACATCTGGCTAACTATGCAACCAAACATAATAGCTAGTAGCATGTTGATACTGAGGCAAAAATTCTTATAGCAATTGTACTGCATTTCTTGCTTCTGAGTAGATGCTGTGTTGTATCTAAACCAGGGGGCTTACAGGCCACCTTAAATTATGAATCTTTTGAATTGTAAGTTTTCTATTATTCCTTAGCCATGGAATGGTGCTACAAATTATTATTTTCCTTTTAACAAAAGTAGAAACACATTTTTATAACACAAATTGTTTTCTTTGGGGAAGAAATAGTAAATAGTAAATCTTCATCTAGCAATTGCAAATGGGAATAGCAACTTATTGCTAAGCAACATGTTCATAAATATGAGACTCTGCCAGCTTATGATATCACTTCTGTCTGCAGTCATTAAACAAATCACCTGTGGTTAAGTGTGACTGCAACTTGTGACTTCTGACTTCTCAGTTGACTGCTTATTGGAAACTGGCTGTGAAGATTGTAAATTGTGATCATGTACTTCCAGATATTATGACTATTATAAATGCATGCTGGTTGCCAAGTTCCTGGACTGTGATCATGTGATTGCAGGATGTTGCAGTGATTGCAACATTAAGACTAGTCATAAAGCTCTTTTTTCAATGTTGTAACTTTGAATGTTGTTAAACAAGCAATTGGTAAGGAATTGTATACGCAGATTGTAAGGAATTGCCTTCTCAGTACTTATCAAGGATTCCTTTTCTCTCTCTGAGAATCTGTTGGAATTAAAAGTCAAGTAGGTTTCCCTCTTTGGAAATCACACTTGGGGTGTTTCAGTCCTTACTGAAATAGCAGTGCTTTAAGTTACATGATTTTGTATATAGTTCAAGAAAGTATCCTAGAGAGGCTTTAAAACTTACTTTCATGTAGTTTTATTTTGTGTAATTCATTAACAATTCTATTTATATCTTCATTATATACTGGTTCAAATAATCTTATGTATTTACATTTTCTCTATATAACATAAATATAATATACAGTCTTTCTGCCACAACTTATAATTGGTGTATCTGTAGAAATACTGTATATCTAGTCTTTAAATAAAATCAGCTGGTTTAAAAGTTACCATTACATTTATTAGACAATTAAATTTAGCTTTTTTGTAAACAAATCAATCACTGTCCTTCAAAGACAGTTTCAAAATGTAATCTTAGAAAATCAAAATGATGGAAGTATGATAATCTGTTTCATAAAGAGATGTTTTAAGGTACTAATATAAAACAGGTTACTGTTCTTGTACATGGTCTGTTTACCATTTTGGAACTTGTCTTCTATTATTTTGAATGTGATAGTTCTGGAGTGAAATAAAAATTATGTTCATTATAAATCCTGAAACATAGTCATATAATATAAAATTACAAATTTCTGTTTATTGGAAAAGCTCTCAAATGCTAACTCTGTGAAGACATATACTTAAATACACCCATTTAAGAATTATTAAGGTATAATACTAAGCATCTTGTTCACGTCTTTAACAAAGCTGAAAGCCAGAATCTGGCAGCTAATCTTGGAGGAATTGAGTACACATAAATATGCATTGGAAAAAGACTTTCAATTGATAATATGAATTAAGGTTAAAAAGTTGATGAGCTGAGACTGGGGTGCATTTTATGTGGGTGGTGATAGAGAAATGTTACAATAAGTGGTCAAAAAGGGAATAGATAATAATTGGATTTATTTTCTTGTATACTGTTTGAACATCCTGTCCTCTTGCATTACTGTGTTTCGTATCACCACTTAGAGACATTGTGGATGATAATTGTAAGATTTATTTACATTTTATATGCCTGTTTTTTTAAACCAAAAAAAAAAGCAATTATGGACTGAAGACTCAAAATCTTAATCTTTTTTATAGGAGAACAACTTACTTGTGTCTTATGTAGGCTCAAGACATAAAATGGTGTTAAGCTTTATTCTCCAAACTGCTTGTCTTACCTCAGTAACTACACTGCTCAAAAAAATAAAGGGAACACAAAAATAAGATATCCTAGATCTGAATGAATGAAATATCTTATGAAATACTTTGTTCATTACATAGTTGAATGTGCTGACAACAAAATCACACAAAACTTATCAATGGAAATCAAATTTAGCAACCCATGGAGGTCAGGATTTGGAGTTACACTCAAAATTAAAGTGGAAAAAAACACTATAGGCTGATCCAACTTTGATGTAATGTCCTTAAAACAAGTCAAAATGAGCCTCAGTGGTGTGTGTGGCCTCCACGTGCCTGTATGGCCTCCCTACAACACCTGGGCATGCTCCTGATGAGATGGCGGATGGTCGTCTGAGGGATCTCCTCCCACACCTGGACTAAAGCATCCCCCAACTCCTGGACAGTCTGTGGTGCAATGTGGCGTTGGTAGATGGAGCGAGACATGATGTCCCAGATGTTCTCAATTGGATTCAGATATGGGGAATGGGCGGGCCAGTCCATAGCATCAGTGCCTTCGTCTTGCAGGAACTGCTGACACACTCCAGCCACATGAGGTCTAGCATTGTCGTGCATTAGGAGGAACCCAGGACCAACCGCACCAGCATATGGTCTCACAAGGGGTCTGCAGATCTCATCTCGGTACCTAATGGCAGTCAGGCTATCTCTGGCGAGCATATGGAGGGCTGTGCGGCCCCCTAAAGAAATGCCACCCCACACCATTACTGACCCACTGCCAAACCGGTCATGCTGGAGGATGTTGAAGGCAGCACAATGTTCTCCATGGCGTCTCCAGACCCTGTCACGTCTGTCATATGTGCTCAGTGTGTACCTGCTTTCATCTGTGAAGAGCACCTGGTGCCAGTGGTGAATTTGTCAATCTTGGTGTTCTCTGTCAATGCCAAACATCCTGCACGGTGTTGGGCTGTAAGCACAACCCCCACCTGTGGACGTCGGGCCCTCATACCACCCTCATGGTGTCTGTTTCTGACCGTTTGAGTAGCCACATGCACATTTGTGGCCCGCTGGAGGTCATTTTGCAGGGCTCTGGCAGTGCTCCTTGCACAAAGGTGGAGGTAGCGGTCCTGATGCTGGGTTGTTGCCCTCCTACGGCCTCCTCCACATCTCCTGATGTGCTGGCCTGTCTCCTGGTAGTACCTCTATACTCTGGACACTACGCTGACAGACACAGCAAACCTTCTTGCCACAGCTCGCATTGATGTGCCATCCTGGATGAGCTGCACTACCTGAGCCACTTGTGTGGGTTGTAGACTCTGTCTCATGCTACCACTAGAGTGAAAACACCGCCAGCATTCAAAAGTGACCAAACCATCAGCCAGAAAGCATAGGACCTGAGAAGTGGTCTGTGGTCACCACCTGCAGAACCACTCCTTTATTGGGGATGTCTTCCGAACTGCGTATGCTTTCCACCTGTTGTCTATTCCATTTGCACAACAGCATGTGAAATTGATTGTCAATCAGTGTTGCTACCTAAGTGGACAATTTGATTTCACAGAAGTGTGATGGACTTGGAGTTACATTGTGTTGTTTAAGTGTTCCTTTTATTTTTTTGAGCAGTGTATATACTTTGTAGTTGTATTCTTTAATGAGGTTACAAATAAAAATTGCCTATCTGTAGAATATAACAGCGTACTATATTCTTGCTTATATGCTGTTTCAGATCAAGTTTAATGTGTACTGTTTTCTCTGTAAACAGATTGTTGAAGATTATGCTGGAAGATGGCAGGTTCCTCTGCCACAGCTTCAAGTACTCCAGACAGCTCTCTGTTGTTTCACATCTGCATGTGTATCTTTTCCAGATGAATGTGAACATGTACAGTATGTGCTAAGTAGCCTAGCCTTGTAAGTAGATCATGCTCTTCCTGTTGTAAACTTTTTAACTTTCTGGATATTATGGGATAATTTTAAAAATAAATCTTCAAGGATAATTTTTTAAGCTTTGGTAAGAAGATTGGTGTCATTTTTTTCCAAGTGTATAAAATGTAAGAGCTGTTTAAGAATTTGTTGACCTGTGCATAATATTTGGGATTTGGAATCTGACTATTGGAAAACATTCTTACCTAGTGAAAAGCTGGTTGCTGGTGGATATCATCATTCTTTGTTTTTAGGCAAGTCAAAGGAAAAACTGCATATCTATATTTAGGCAAATCTTGCCAAAGCAATTCCCCAATAGAAAAATGTAATAGGTTGTAATTATTTGCACTCACCATACTTAGTGTGGCATTATCATCAAGCTGCCTTTTAATCTAATTATTTCTACAAAAATGAGAAATAATTGTTAGGACACTTATACATAAATTACTGTGAAATCTCTCAAATCTTGTAGAAGACCAGAAGATATATGGTAACTTCATATAGGCACTAGACTTGCAAACTCTGGTGAAGGATCATCACAAGAATGTTGAACAAATAATATCTAAAACCTCCGGGTATTAAAAATTAGACCCTCATACCTATAGAGGTTCAGTATTGATTAACAACAATTTTAATTTTATCAAACCAACAGTTGTAGACTGGGACTTAAAGTTCAGTTTCATTAGACTGCTTATTCTTTTACTCTTAACATGGATTTTGAGAACAGTCCATTGTCTCATAATGATGTGGAATCATATTGCATGTGAGCAAAAACTGAAAAAATGCAGTGTTTACTGAAAAAAAAAATGCATTCTATTTGGAGATAAAAGAATTAGCACCAACTGTTGGTTCATCATTTAAATCTCCATGAATCTGTAATCTTTAATTGAGTTAGAAATTTTAGGTTGCAGTGGCCCTTAATAAAGTATTTCTTCAATTCTATATTATGGCAGATTGTATAGACTCTATAATACACTAAAAATTCAGCTAATATATAATGTAACATACCACTGCAACATTGTATTAGGAAGAATATTATTCCAATATTTTACCTTGTCAATAACTCTATGGTATAGTTCTATTAAATGAGCTTGCCTGATAGAGAATTCACAGGGCTTTGTCAACATTGCTCCTTCATTTAAAATTCTTTATTTAAACTTGTGTCATAATATGCTTGCTCTGCTTATTTCTTTTCAACTTCAAGTTGCTTTGATTTATAGGAGCTTTTTCGAACTTTTGCTGTTCTTTGGAAAAGATGAATTCTATGAAGATCCTTTAAAAGATATTCTTGGGTCAATCCAGGTAATTTGCTAGTATTCAAATAATTAAGTGTTAGCAAGCATAATGCAAGCAATTTACAAGTAGTCCTTGATTTATGATCATTCGTTTAGTGACCATTCAAAGTTTGACAGCACTGAATGATTGGTAGTTTCTGGCTGATCCTCAAAGTTCCAACCATTCTAGCACACACACACACACACACACACACACACACGCTCACATGATTGTGATCTGAATGCTTGGCAATCCATTTATACTTATAATTGGTTCCCAAGTGCCCAATGATCACAAATGCCATTTGTAAATTCATGCTGGTTTCTCCAGAAAGTCAAAGGGGAAGCCATCAGGGAAGCCTGTAAGTTACTGGGTAACTCTCCTCGTGCATCCTTCCCCAGCCTCTTTGAACTTACATTGTACTGGTCACTTGCACAGCCCTGTGCACCTTCCCTGACCTATGCATTGCCATTATAAAACCTCACACATCCTTCCTGACTCTTTTAATTCCTCTAGTGCAACCCCTCCTGCACACTCACCCACCAACCCTATCCATGTGGCACTTTTCTCAGATCTTTACAGACACTGTATAATATCTGTTGTGTACCCTTTCTAACCCTTCCCCATACCCCACCAATCCCCTTCCTCCCTGATTCAGCAGCACCTGTTAACTTGTCCGTGGGTCTGGGAATTGCAACTTCCTGCTGGCTTCCCCCATTGACCTTGAAACAGCAGGAAATTGGCTTGCCTAAAGACCATGGGATTGAGTTAACAGTAGCAAATGGGACTGCAGGGATTGTGGTTGCTAAGCAATGTGATTGCATTTTCTGATGGTACTGCTTAGTGACAGGAAGTTTTGGTTCCAGTTGCTGTGGTATCAAGAACTACCTGGATAAGGAACTTTATCCAAAAGGAAAATTCAGTTAAATTCCTTAATTTTTTCAATTAAAATTTAAGTATGAAATTCTGAGTCAATATATAATGCTGTGAATTGTATACAAATAACATGATTAATTGTTAATATCAAATTCATGTAGGAATCAGTTTGCGACTTTAGAGTCTGTTATTGTATCATCTCTCTTCCTTTTGCACTCTGGTCCCATTACTTTCTAATGGCAGTTGAGAAAATGTTAATTAGAATGGAGCAAAGCTACATAATCATTGCCAATTAAATTCATAAACATTTTTCCTATAGTGGTCTTCCCTGTTGAAATTTTAGTAGCCTTGGCTTAGCTCCTAACAGACTATTTTTCAGTGCTGCTTATTTGTGATATCTATATACTACTAAAACTCTCATTGTCATGGTTAAATTGGATGAAATGGTATGTTATAGGGCAATAGTTTTTGAAGCAAGGTACCTTAAATGGCTAACATACAGGATGTGTCCAAAATCTGGGAGCCATGATTCCCAAGGGAATCAATTTTGAGAAAGTTGTTCTTCATGCTGTTGACTGCCTCTGTGCTGTTGCAGTCATGTTATCTTTATTTTCAATGTTCTGTGACAGTCTCCCAACCAGTATCAAAATCCTTTACTGCCCTCCTCACCCAGCAGTGGTCATATATTTGCCTGCTGGGAAGGGAAGGGAAGGAAGGAAAATTGCTTCTGCATGAATGCTTGGAAGACGCAATAAATGTAATTGAAGAGAAACTTGAAAAAATATTGGGCAACACTTATACTTTTTAAATTTGGGGGTTGAAAAAAAAAGTGTAATTGATGTGGTAATAGCAGAGGGTAGTGGAATAGAAAAAAAAATTGGAGAGATCACACAGTGGCAAGATCTAAAATCAAAATTTGAAAGATAATAACAAAAATTAGCCAGTGATTATCAACACACTGGGTACCACAGGTCTACTGGGTAAGTTACAAGGCAAGAAAGCAAGTGACTGTGAGTTCTAATCCCGATTTAGCCTTGAAAGTCAGATATGTGACTGTTGGCCAGTCACACACACAAAACAACTTTGCAGGGTTGTTATGGAGAAAATGGAGGAGGAAAATGTGTGGATATATGTTCACCTTGAGTTATTTATAAAAATAATAAAGGTGGGATACAAATAAATAGAAGTAATAAAAAATGTCTATGGAGGTTCTTGGTCATCCAGGTCATGGTTGTCCGAAAGGCACTTTTTCAAGAGGCAGCTGGATTGAAGAAGCTGACAAGCTGAAGAAACTTCTTGGATGAGAAGTGAAACATCTTCAAAGAAAAAACAGAAAGTCCAGCTGCTTCTTGAAAAAGCACCTTTGGGACAATTATAAAGGAGTAAGTTGCCAGTCAGTTTTGGCACGTTTTGGCAAATATGCAATAAGTGCAGTTGAAGCCCCTAACTTTATGCTAAAAAAGGTGAAATCTCGAAAACTTAAGAAGTATATATGCAGTGTGCTGATACATTCCCAGATACATTCTAAGTACTGTTAATGTTCACTACTTATTCCTCCATAGGATTGCCAGAATCAACTCAACAGATACAGAAATGTTAACTTAGAATTGGTAACTCGAATTACCAGAGATGGTGGACCTTGGGAGGATCCTGTATTACAAGCTGTTCTTAAAGGAAAATCAGTTTCTCAGGAATTAGGTACAAATAATTTTCCATATATATTGAAAATGGCATAATTTAAATTAATGCTAAATGTAGGAAATTTTTATTTGATTTCTTTATAATTGTTTTGAGGTAGTGAACATTATAATGTATTTCTTAATCACAAGATAGAACTAATTCAATTAGAGACTAAAGTTGGGCTTAAATATAAGAAAATTTAGTGTGGATTTTGAGATTATTACTTATGCATGGAAAACAATTTGTATTGATTTTATAGATAATTGGTCCTGAGATGGCACAGTATTAAAGAATAATTTTATGTGTGTATCTTGTTATATCATGGACAAAATTTATCAGCTTGCCAACAGTCAAGTTGACTTGATGGCACATAATAAATCATTTTATAGCAATTGCAGATATCTTCTCAAGTAAAATGCCAAGTGTTACTTTCATAGGAATATAGTATGAACTCACTGAAAAATATTGCAGCATTCTAATTTAAAATATTTATGGTCTTAATTAAATAGTTACAAGGATTAAATTATGTGTACATATTTAGGAGCAGTATTGCTATAAGAAGTGCTATTTGTTATTATTGTAGAAGAAGATTGCATAACATACATTGAGATTTACATGTTTCCAAGAAGAATGGGGCCAGATAATATTTTGGAAGGAAGTTGTAGGAGTTATAATGGGTGAATGGCTGTCTTTAGGATATGTCCTTGAAATTCCCCATCCCCAGTCCTCAATCTTAAATCTATGGCCTCACTCAATTGGTGCAGAGGAGACAGCAACAAAAGGAAGATAGTGAACTGCAATTTTTTGCATTGCTGTCATAATAATTTTATACTGGCCCCATTCTCTTATCCATGTTTTTAAAAGAAAACCTCCATAGATTATCCACTTTTTAATTTTATTAAGTTTAATAGAATGTTTCCAATATTTTGTAAACCTGATAACGTAACCTTAATATTTTATAACTGAATTATTTGTTTTCTTTTACCAGTTAACAAATATTTAAGCTCTGAAAATCCACTGTTCTTTGAATTACGTGCCAGATACCTTATTGCCTGTGAACGCATCCCAGAGGCAATGGCTCTTATCAAAGCTTGCATGAATCATCCTGATATTAGCAAAGACCTTTACTTCCATCAAGCATTTTTCATGTGTCTTTATATGTCTCCGCTAGAAGATCACCTATTCCAAGAGGTATAGTTTGTCAGCTTTAATGCAGTTTTATGATATATCTTGATAAGGGATAGCATTCTAATTCATATTAAGCAAAATAAATGATCATCTTTTTTAAAAAAAATCATTCCTGTATTACGACTATATAGATTAATCACAATTCTGTATATATTATTTTTTTTGAATATTGGACAATTACTTTTTAGCATTAGCATTTCAATAACTCTGTTCTAAGATTGCCAAGTAACAATTAATGTAATGGAAAATTTGGTCATGGAAAATAGGAGTAACACTTTACTATTCCATTCAAATTAATAAAAAACCAAATATGCCATATATAAATTCTTGTTATTGTAAATATTTCTCTTCCTCCTTGTGTTATTAGCTTCCTATATTGGGTAATAGAACTAGTAATAGGAGCTAGGAATTCCAATTATTGTAAAAGGTTAGCCTTTTTCATACTACACTTGCCTGAGTTATCTCATTTTGATTGCATAGCATTTGCTGAGGACTGACTGCAAGAATGGCATTGAAATCATCTGCAACATTGCAAAAGAAGGGAAGATTGCTGTAGCATTGAATCTTTGTGAATTGTTTCTTATTCCACAGCTCAAAAAAGGGGATATGTATTGCATCTGGTAAATCTTTTCTTTCAATAATATTGCTTTACACTAGTGTTATGATAAAGTAAATTACAAGTAAATTATAAAGGAATGGTCAAAGCCTAGTTTATTATTAAGAATAAATAGTGCTTCAATGCAATTTCATTCTGTAAAATCCATCAATTAGTGAAAACTAGGTATTGGATATTTTTGTATTAATATAGATTGTTTAAAAATATTGGATTATCTTATTGATTTATTTAACTGACAACTAGAAAGTACTTTTTTTTTTCCCAAATTAATTTCTTTACAACTTCTCATTTATGACTGGTGCTTTTATGAACTTGATCAAAATTTCATTAATCTGTAAAAACTATATCTTACATTTTATTTGTTAAAAAAATTCAGAAATGGAGAATTATCTAAGAGAATGCAAAAGTGCCTTATATTTAAGCTGACTACTCTAAAAATGTCACATAGACTGGCAAAGGCTCTAGAGATTCATAGTTTTCCTCTATGTAGATGCTGGAAATTGAACTTTAGGTCTGCAGGCAAACAAGGCTCAAATACTTATTTATGATTTCTCTCAAATAGCTTTTTGAATAATATAATTATATTGATAATATTACATACTTCCATATGTAGAATTTGCATACAGTGAAAATTTATTTTAATACACTAATTGGAGGATGTGGCTGGTTTTAATAAATGGCCATTGAATTGGAGAATGCATTTCCAAGTTGATTTGCATAATAGTAGCATTATGCAAATGATACAAATTATGTCATAATTTTTATAACCCTGAATTATATCTACCATAGATTTTAACATGATAAATGCCATATGATTTGTACCTTGGTTCATAAAATAATAAGCTTCATTTTGTTTTACAGGGAGCTGATCTTTATTTGGAGTAAAATGCAGCTTAGGTCTAACCCATCAAAGCAAGTATTTGTAGATCAGTGCTACCATCTTTTAAGGATAGCTACAAATTTACAAGTTATTTTCCCTTTCATGAAAGTCATTAGGGATGAAGTAAGTAATAGCATTTGTCTCAGATATGTGTTTTAAAAGTACCAATATTAAATATTGTATAAATTATGTTGTTAAATAGTTAAATATTTTGTTGAGAAACAATATATGGAAAATGTCTAAAATATTTTATTTGCACACCTGGCATTGGAGAACAGCAAATAGTATTCTAGCCATACTTATGGAGTTTGCGTTTTGAAGTTTTATTATAGGGCAAGAATAAAATGTGCTGTGTACAGCTCTAAAATGGACCAATATTAGTAGGATTAGCTCAACATATACTTAAAAAATGGTTGTAATTATGAAGACACTTTCTTTTTACACTTTACAAACTTTAAATGTATATTAGTTTATAAGTTCCATAATTGTTTTATGCAACATGTAAAAGAAAGTAATTGAATTTTGTTCCAAATATATATATATTTGTTTAATGATGATTATTAATAGTTGTATAACACATTTGAATGAAGGGATCTGCAGCACACAGGAGCATTGAAACATTGAAGTAGCAATCTTTTTATGTATCTCATGCAGCTGTTTTGATAACAACTCCCAATTTTTTTCATTTGTGTATTTATGAATTGCCACTTTTCTAGGTATATCAATGTGGAGGTACTTTGAGCACTTTCCAAACAACTTTGCAAGCTTTCTGAAAGAGGCATTATTTTAATCATTTGAAAAGGATTACTTTGTGCTCTTGCCTGAACCTTAATTTAGTAATTATTCATTGTCCTTGATTTTAAAAGATATAATTATATGTTGTGCTTGTTTTAACTGTATTTAGAAAAAAATTATCAAAATTTAGTCTTCCATAGTTGGAAGAGTTTCCATTCATGAATTGGTTTTGACTCAACTGAGTGAACTTACTGTAATAGGAAAATATAATGTACAATGATAACAGTTTAAAATGAATGTACCTTTAAAATTTTTGCAATATTATTTATTACTTTTCTACATTGACATAATACAATACTTTTAAGAATATTTACATCTATTCATCAGTTCTCCTGTATATTAGGGTGTGGGTTGTTTTGTTTTACATCCAGTTTCTCCCTAAAGATAACTGGGAATTTTAACTTTGGAACCAGTGATAGGTTTCAAAGTAGTTTACCACCAGTTCGGAGGGCGTACTTTGCACACATGCGCATGCCAAACACACAATTTGCTCATGTGCAAAGGCTTTCCTACTCACCTCCTGCAATCTGCACTCTCCCTGTAGCTTCAACAGCTGATGCGCGGCAATCTGCTACGCTATGCAAAGTAGCTGCGGTTCAAAAGCAGGGAATAAAGGTCAGTATGGGAGCCTGGGCAGGTAGGCCCAACAGCAGCTTGTCAGGGAGAACTGGTTCAGCCTCCGCTGATCTTTGGCGCTGCCGGTACGCCAGAACTGGGCCAAATCGGTAGAATAGTACCACTGTTTGGAACCATTTGTTGTATCATTGAGTTATAATTTTTTTGAGAATAACTCTCTGGAAGAGGAAATGCAGAAGATTCTCAGTATTCTGAATTTATTCTACCTTTCTTTCTCACAGATTGGCAAGGGAGGTCTGCAGATTTGTGTAGAGATATGTGGAAGTGCTCTTCAGCTAGATCTTCATGATGATCCAAAAATGAAATGTTTGATATACAAAACCATTGCTCACTTTTTGCCAAATGACTTAGAAATAGTGCGGATATGTGCTCTTTCTATATTTTTTATTGAGCGCACCTTGGAGTCCTATTATACTATTGAACAGCTATATAAATGTACAGATGAAGAATACAATGAACAGATAAGTTCAGTTCAGAATCGTGTACGTTTTGAGTTGCTGCCAATTTTGAAAAAGGGGTTGTTTTTTGATCCAGAATTTTGGAATTTTTTGATGATCAAACAGAACTGTTTAGCACTATTAAGAGATAAAGCCTCAGTTGAACTGAGTGAACGTCCACCTGAGCTTTCTTCTGCAAATACATCAAAGACACATCGAGCACTGCGGGGTGATCAATCTTGTGTACCTGAGATAAACAATGGAGAACTAGGCCATGAAGATACTTCTGAAGTACAATTGGAAAATGATAGTAATTGCAAAAAGAACAATATAGTTCTTAATTCGTCTAAAACTGATCACAATGTACCAAAACATCGCTGCATATTATGTAACAGAGAATTTGTTGGTGGTCATATTGTGAGGCATGCCCAGGCTCATCAGAAAAAGGGCAGTTTCTCATGTGTAATGTGTTATAGAAAGTTCAGACAAAAAGGTATAATGCTTAAGCACTTAAAGAATCACATAAAGAAAATGACACTGCATCATCTGACTGCTACTTCTGTTGATAAAGAAACTCTTATTGTAAATGAAGTGAACTGTTCTAGTGCTGAGGTCTCCCTTCAAAATGGGGACTTGGAGAGTACTAAAGAAAATGAAGTGGAGCTAGTCATTCCAAGTACTAATCAGGAGATGCAAAATTCTGAACTTGCACTGGATATAACCAAAAATCATGTTAGTAGCCAGGATGATGTTATTGAAAATGGTAGTTGTGATAACAATTCAAATAATATTTTTGAGGCAGAAATTAAAGAAGGATCACCAGAAAACAGCCTGAATAGAGAACTCCCTATACTTCCAAAGGTAAATGGTGTGCTCTGTCCTCAAAATGATGTGGATCACACAAGTAATTTCAAGTGTCCTGCAGATGGATGTATTAGAGTCTTTAAAAAAATACGGTTTCTGAATAAGCATGCACGTAAGGCCCATCCCTCTGATCTGAATGTGCAAGAGCATATAATGAAATGGAATAATGGAAAATGTAGGTTTTGTCAGAGAAAATTTTTGGATTCTCATCATTTTATTGATCATTTGAATCAACATGTTTATCCAAATGTATATTTCTGTTTGCATTTTAACTGTAATCAGAGATTTAAGCTGTCCACTGAGCTTGCAGAACATATGAAAAGTCATATTGAATTTAAAGCTCAGTGTAATTTTGCAGAGTGCTGTAAACTTTTTGATGACATTTCGTTGTTATATGAGCATGAAGCTCAACATTACTTAAACAAAACAAATCCTTCTGAAGTCAGTGAAAATAATTCTTCAGTTGTTTTGGAATCTGAGTGTGCTATTCAAGAAATAGCAGATGATGGTGGTGAAAAGGAGGCTGTAATGGACTTGCCAATTCCCACTTGGAAAGCAAGAAAAGATTCCCTAGAACCAAAGACTTATATCCAGACTGAGAAAAAAATAAATAATCTAATCCAGAATGGGAATGAAAATGCATATGGTAGTGCTGTCACAATTGTGAACTTAATAGACCAAAAGATACCTGAAGTAGAGCCAAATTTAGAAAGCTGTACACTTAATGATCAGCTAGTTGTTAATGGGCATGATGAACTGGAACAAACAACAGCCACACTGGATGTTGATTTGGAAAGAACGAGTGCCAGTACTAGGACAGAAAATGGATCTATTCTACCTGTTCTGCAGAACTGTACAGATATATCAGATAATACTCTCGTGGATTCTCAGACACTTTCTAAACCAAATCAGATAACAGAAAATACATCATACGGCTTAATTTTAACAAAGCCTTACATTAGACCATTGCCTCCGAGTTACCTTGATGAACGATATATAAGCATGCCAAAACGAAGAAAAACTTTGACTGATAAAGCAGGTGCACATTCAGAGCAAGGCAAAACATGTAGCAAATCAGAGAGACTAAGATGCAGCAAATGTTTGACCACCTACTGTAACTCAGAAGCACTTCAGCGTCATCTTGCACAAAAGAAGTGTCGGACACTTTTTGGATTCGATTCAGATGATGAAAGTAAGTTTTACAATTTTACTAGATATAATTTTAGGTGTTTGTATAATGATAAGATGTTAAACAAGATTTAAACAAATGGATAGAAACATAGTTAGACAAAGGATTCTAAAAAAATAGGGTGAAAAAATGTAATAAAATTATATTATATATAATGGTAAATAGTAGAATAGACATCTAGTGTTGTCTTAGCCCATTAGTATTATGGAAAAGTATTATGTTACAGGAAATAGAATTTCAGCTAGTTTTGACAGCACTTACTGTGCAACATTGTTGAAATCATTACTTGACCAGATAAAATTATGAAACATACTCTACACCAGGGGTGTCCAACCTTTCACCTTCTCTGGGCCACATTAGAAGATGAAAATTTGGTTTGGGCCGCACATAAAATAAAATAAGAGTAATGATACCTGATCATCCAAAAAAACCATAGAAAACATAGTTAACATATTACATTTATTTGAAAATGAAGTTAGTGAGATGTTTTTATTATTTATTATTATTTATTTATTTAAAATTATTTATTTTTTATCACGGTTTTTTTTAATCATGGTTTATTTTCAGGCCAAATTTTGTGGTGGCGGGGAGAAAGTTCGCCGGCCTCGCGCCTACCTCTCCTCCTGCAAATGGCCCAGCTGGATGAGGCAGGACTGGAAGGCAGAAGCAGCAGCGGTGGCGGGGGCAGCGGCGGCGGGGGTGGGGGCAGCAGCGGCAGGGGCAGAAGTGGGGGCAGCGGCGGCAGGGGCAGAAGCCGCAGCGGCAGCAGGGGCAGAAGCGGCGGGGAGGGGGCGGGGGCAGAAGCAGTGGTGGGGGCAGAAACGCGGTGATGGTGGCAGCGGCGGTGGGGGCAGAAGCGGCCGCGGTGGCGGTGGCAACAGCAGGAGGTGGCACTCTGACGGCGCCCACCTTTTCTGTTGCTGCTTGGTGTGGCCTCGCCCCGCCTCGCGCCTGCCTCTCCTCCTCCTCCTCGCTGGCTCTGGCATGAAGGTTGGGGTGGGCACTGGGCCGCATTATGAGGCGACCTGGGCCGCATGCGGCCCGCGGGCCGCGGGTTGGACAAGCCTGCTCTACACTGTTTCAATGTTTTCATGAAGTCTTCAGGACAAGGTGGTAATTAACTAACATTTTATATTCTCTAAACAAACAGTTTATTTGACCTCACTTTTGTTTAGGAAAAATAAATGACTGAATCTCAGTATGATACTAGACTCCAAAGGACTCAACTTAATCTCTTTTTTTGCAGGTGCCTGAGCAAATGATGTATGAAGACTCCATTTGAGGAGTAGTGATGGAACACTACAATATTCTGCATCAACCTGCTTTTCCCTTCTTGGCCTTAATTATAAAGAAGTCTCTAAAATTACTAAAGAAAATCATGACCTTTCTGAGAATTAAAGCACACGGGTCACAACTAAGTGATAGTAGGAGCTGTGCAGTATTAGCATCCAGAAAACAAGCAAACTGTGTTTAAACCCCCAAAGTACCAGTTATCTAAAAGCCACAAGTTTTTGCATAGTTCTACTCTTAAGTAAATTCACTGGGTGGCTGTATACAGAGTAGGTTTCATGCTGACTGAAAACAATTGTTCCAGAGAAAAATGCCTGTGGGACATGCCTCATTTTGAATTTGTATGTTCAAAGGAAGCCATTCTGTATGATAAAACTAGTTTGAGTCACATTCAATGTTGCTGTGCATTAAAATTGGATCAATTAAAAATAGATCCATTTATAGAGGTTGACTCTTCTTGCAATGGTATATTTTGTACCCTGGAAATGGAACCGATGAATGTAAGAAATAATCAGTGCTGGGCAGTGTATCTTAATAAATGTTTTAAGGCATACAATCAGGGCTAAAGTATGTCTTTGATATTTCCAAATTCACCTAATTAAACTGCATTCAAATGCACCAAAGTTTTTCAAGACCTGATCATGATGAATGCTTGGATAGAGTTCACTCCTAACAAGAGCTAGCAAATCCACACAGCTACAATATTTGGTATCAAAAAGCAGTTTTAGGCTCAATAGTAAATTCATATGGTTAGAATTTAACTGAATTCAGCTGGTGTATAAATTTTAAGCATAAACGTTTTAAGTTTTGCATGAGTTGTTAAAATTTACTTTTGTATTTAAAATGAATTAAAAAGGGTCACACTTGATTTAAATTTACATTAGGACACTATGAATATAATTTTATATTCATATTGTATCAACGTTGAAAAGTTGCACTGAATTTTCTTTATGAAACAATTGCATTCTTAAGAAACCTATACAAATGCTATCATGACAGTGCATGCTATGCAAATAATTCAGAGGTAATTTGAACATAGAATCTGTTATTTTAAGCAGTCCTTCTGTCAGACTTCTATGCAAGTATAATACAGTGAGTTCAAAGCATTTCTGAATAATTTTTGAAGTGGGCATACATCTAAAATCCCATGACAAACTTAATCAGTAAAAATAAATTGCTTTAGTAATGAGTGCCAGTAAAATTATTTGCACTGTGCCTTGAAAAATTAAGCTTTAAACCAGTGGTGGTATGCTACCGGTTCGGCCCGGTTCAGCTGAACCTGTAGTAAAAAAAAGCCTCCCATGATAAGCTAAGGAGGAAAAAAATCCTTCAACCATCAGCTAAAAGGAAAAAGAAAAGCACAGGATCTACCCTCTTACCCGCCCGTTTGCTTTTCTCTTCTTTATCCTCTCAGCTGATTGGTGCTGCAGACCTCAGCTGGTATGTGGAAAGTTTCACGTGTGGTAGGTGTGTGTGTGTGCGTGTGCTAGGTGCGTGTGCTAGGTGCATGTGCGTGATCACCAAACCGTAGTGGAACAGGTAGGATCCCACTGCTGCTTTAAACCCCTTCTTAAATTAGTACATATAAAAGCAGAGTATTCTAATCCCAAAATATCCAAGATACCCCTTTCTTTAAAAACAATGGCGTACAAATATTTATTATGAAAAATAACTTTTGTAATAAACATTAAGATCTTTCTTGAAGATCACTGGGGTTTGAAAATATTTGCAAAGGGATTACAATTTTTTTTAAAAATGGAAACATTTGATCTATTGAACTATATTTTCAATGCAATCCTACACATTTCTACTCCAAAGTCAGTCCCATTGAGTTTAATGGTACTTACTCTCAGGTAAGTGAGTAGATTTTTTAAAAAATCATATTTTATTCATAGACTAACGACATTTTTTTCTCAAGAAACAAGTATGAAACTTTGAACACAGATACACTTAAAATATAATTATATTTCTAACCACTTTTAGGTCAATCCTGATATCTAGGCACCAAATGATATTTTTAATTAACTACACAGGTGAAGCTGTGCTTGACTATGCTAAGTATCAAAGGCTACTATTGAAGCAATTCGAATTATAACACAAACAGACCTTTTTCAATTTACTTTTGTAAGTCATGCAAGATTGCACAAATATGGTACCTAAGTTATCTACTTTTGAGATAATTAAAATCCAAAAACATATATTTTGTAATATATTTGTACATCTTACTATATAGGAGATTTTATTAAAATATTTTAATACTTTATATTATTAAATGGGAGTTATTTGCAAATCTCAGTCTTCAATTGTGTCTTAATTGGAGTTTATTTAATTTGGTCAGATTAGAGAATAGGTTTTTCTTGTACAGGAGTCCTAAAATTAGCAATTTAAAATGACAGCATGTTTTAATATATCAATATATGAAACTCAGTTTTTTCAAAAAATAAAATATTGATTTTCTGGGACCTCAGAATGAATTAGCAGTTTTAGTGTTTCATTTCTTAATCTGCATTAGGGGTGATGATATTTTAAAGATAACATTGTGCTAAGCTTGACTTCTAGTTATTACATAGGCACAGCTGTGCAGTTTGCATAATGATAATATAAAATGGTTTGCTATTATTTTATTCCATGTTTTTTGACTAGCTGAACCTGTTATTTCCTATGGATCTGTCATCCAGGTTATAATCTAAGCCCAAGTAAGGTGTGCCTGATACTGACACTTGCTGAGATGGATAATTAGCGCTGTGGGTATGAATCTGTAGCTATACTTCAGTATTCCCTAAACTGGGTTTTAATTTTCTAGATATGAAAAACATTCATTTTTCCACCAACTTTAGTTTCAGTAACCACCTGCACTCTTAATTTACAGGCATCTAGGTATCCAGACTTATATCCAGGATATATAAGCTTTTCCTCAGGAAAACATTCCATTTCAAATTAATTCCAAATTATGTAACATCATAAATGTTTAGTATAAAACTGAAAGGGAAGATTAACCTTCTGCAAAATGTTCAGTTTTCCACTTGCTATGTTAGCAGTTTTAATCAAAAACAGTTGATTTGTTGTCGATTACTACCAAACACTTAGGAGAAATTATACAAATGGTAACATTGCTAGGACACCTGTCTTTCAGTATTGGCTTGTCAGCTAATATCAATTGCTGTTAAACACTACGAGTTAGTAATTAAATTAGTGAGCCTAACTCCATAATTCTAAAATACACACTTTTGGAAAATATGTTGACTGCCTTCTTGTAAGTGATTAGTATTTTGTCTTTCCACAAGCTTTTAAAACAGGATAGGGATGTTTGTTTTTCGCCAGAAGAATTACATGAGTGACTTCAACCAACTACATGAGTGACTTGTTTGTTGTGGGCAAGTTTTCATTATTGCAGGAAATAATATTTTCTTTTCTAGTTAACTTAGAATTGGCATTGATACAGCAAAAGTGGTATTTCTTAAATGGCTTGTGTAATGCCCCCTTATCTCCTGTCTGAAGGAGAAATACAAAGCCAGCAGTAATCATTATGAAGTGCTTAGTGGATCCAGTTGAAAATGTGCTAGGGTTCCCCTGCCCCACCTAGAAAAATGTAAAAATTCCCACAGCCAGAACAAGACTACTGCTGTATTTAAGTTTATGTCAACTAGTCTGAAAATTAAAGCTTAAAAGTTAAATGATTGTGTTAGTGTTGCCCAATGTTTTTGCCAGCTAATAAACACTTGGTATGCTACTCAGTTAATCTCCCTATCAAGTAAAGAAACTGCATGGCTGACAGTTTTTCTAACTAGATACCAGATATGTAAATAAGACATTATGTAAAAATAATACTGTACTTATTTCAAGCATCTCCATTAAATCTGACTCAAGCTAGGTACAATTATCATTTTTTCTGTTTTTTAAGGATAACCTCAGATCCTCCACTACCCTAAATATTGGCAGTGGTTCCCAAGTCATAGCCTTTAGAAGACAAACTTGTTTATCTATTTGGTTTGTCACAAGGCATCCTCAGTCATGTAAAAAGTATTGATCTGCCATCTATAGAAATATCTCTGCCATCTATTTTATAGAAAAAATTGAAATGCTTATCTGTGGGAAAGGTTACTGGTACTTTGGTCTAGCCATATTCAATTAAACATCTAGAAACTCTATAGTTTGAATCATGTAGACAAGATTCAATATTTCTTGTTTAATGCCAAGGTGTAGGATGGAATACTTTAAAGGGTTTTTTTTTGCACAGTGTGTGTATTTTTGAATTCTTATGTTTAATTTGTAAAAGCAATTACAGATTTAACAAGTGAGGAAATTTGTGCTTCCTTCTTGATGGTTAAATTATTCTGCATTTTATAAGAGTACAAATAAAAACTGAGCCATCAAACTGCAATAAATCAACAGTAGTATTTCATTTAATTTTTTTGTATTGTAAATAGATTTGTTCAATAAAATGTTATTGTTCAATAAAATATTAAAGATATGTCTGGAATTCTGAAAAAAAACATTTGATTTTGTTAGTTGCAATATTGCTATGCAGCAGCTAGCAAGACATTTCATATATAGCTTTAATAAAAAATATATCCTGAAGCAGGTGACATTTAAATAAACAAGTACTAACTTGCTCGAATGCACAATTTGGTAAAATGAAACTGCAGAATATAGAATCCCAAATTTAATATGGGCTGTTAAGGTTTTTATTGGAAACAAAAAGTTCTAATTACAACTTGATTTTTAAAAATCCAATAACAATATTGAGCCCAGGAATGGATTTTGAGAACCCAAATTGAACCATGTTTTTGTACTTTGTAAAAATATTTCCTCTGCTTTCTTCTGATCAGTGTCTTGAGGTGAGCTTATTTGCTTTTCTCTGAAATCATTGGGAATTAGAGGTCCTTCCTGTGAATCATTAACAAAATTTTCTGTTCAATCATGTTCAGTTCTCAACAGACTCAGAAAGTCCCATCAATTTTTTTGGCAAGGTTTTTCTGAAGTGGTTTTCCTTTGCCTCTTTCCCATGGCTGTGAGAAAGTGAGTGGCCCGAGGTCACCCAGCTGTTTTTGCGCCTAAGAGGGTCCTAGAACTCAGTTTCCCAGTTTCTAGCCTGAGGCTGCACCAAACTAACTCATTCACAAGATTAATTTGCAACGAAAGAATCTTGTTTTTTCTACTTTGTATCCTGAAGTTCCTTTTCTTAAAAACTAGCCTTACATTGTAACTCATATTTGGGATATTATACATTACCAAAACGTGTGCGTAGTACCCATTTAGTCCCGTCATTAAGTGTATTTGGGGAAATGTATGTTTGTAACAATTTTGTTTTTGATATGACATTGCAAAATTTAACTTGGAAATATCTTTAGAGATGGCATCACTCTTGTTTTTTTTAATGAATCCTCCAATTATTATATCGTATATTTTAATATATATGACATAGTTTTCTGGAAGAATAATC